TGCCTGCCTGCCTGCCTGCCTGCCTGCCTGCCTGCCTGCTCCCGCCCCGCCGCGGCCGATACTTCGCAGTTAGCAGCCAACCGCCCACCAGCCGCCTCACCGTTCGCGACACGAAGAACCGCTCCAGAAGCCTGTATCTCCACTGCTGCCAAGCGTTCCCCCGGCACAGAGAGGCCGCCGCCGCCATCACGCTCGGCCGCGAAGCTGCTCTCGGCTACCCAGGCCGCCCTTTCACCTTGTGCTCCCTCGACCAATCAGATGCGATTCTTCACGATGGTGGGCACACGCCCACGACCCGCCCCCCTCGGCTCGCGCCTTGCCTGAGGGGGCGGCGGAGCCCGGCGCGCTTTCCCCCGGGAGCCCTGGGGGAGAGGAGGCGGCGGCGGAAGGAAGGCAGGGCCGGGGCTGTGGGTCGCCCAGTCGGGGTGGCCTTGGTCCGGCTCGGCCTGCCCGTAACGCGTCTGGGAAAAGCCCTGTCGTCAGTAAGTGTGCTGTGCAGCCGGGCCTAAAAACTGCTGGTAGGGCGTGAAACCCATGGAAGGCAGTAACTGACGGAAACGCGATTCCCTTGACTTCTGAAACCTGTGGGTGGGTGGTAGGGAGAAGTCCGGGTGCCGTCACGGATGAGAAGATGTTCTCCCTGCGATTCTGTGTGTTGAAGAACATCCTCCCTGGTTATTTTCCTTGTTCGTGACACGATGCCCTTCAAGAGCCCTAAAACGAGAGGTTAGGTTGGATGCTGAGGCCTGCTTTAAAGGAAATTTCTCGGTAAGAGGATCGGAAGTCATTGGAGATGTCTAGATAGCGAGGTTTTCAACACGTGATCCAATACAGCCAAAAAATGCATGTGTGTGTGAATGGTACTACGTGTAAAATGAAAATGTCCATTGGTCATTTTTTTAAAGACAACAACCCTAACTACATACAGTTTTTTTTAATTATTATTTTATTTATTTAATGTATATAGCCACTATCTCACATACGTGCCTCTGGGTGGCTTACAGAGTTAAAAACACAAAAAAAAACCAATACAGAAATAACCAAAATATACAACAAAAGACCATTAAAATAAAAACGGTTAAAACCATAAAAAAAAAAATAATCTGCAATTGGTCTCACTAACAGTACAGCCATTATGCAAGCTCTACACCATCACTACCGGATCCCCAGGCCACACGGCAAAGCCATGTCCTCAGGCCCTTCCAGAAGGCCAGTAGGTTGGTTCACATATACTAAACTGGAAGGGAGTTTGTTTGGTCTTGGTGTAGAGCCCTTGTGGTTTGTAAAATCAGTTTACAGTTTAGAGTGTCCTGCAAATCCAGCAGAATTGTGTCTTTAATAAACTGTGGTTAAATTATGGCTTAATGCAGTGTGCATATCTGGTCTCACACTGGTGTACATATTGTGCTAAGCCATAGCTTGTTTGGTCATGATTTGTTGAATAAATCACCACTGGTGGTTTCACACATATCACAATAAACATAAACCATGGTTTATAAAATCAGTTGAGTTTATTCAACTTGTTAAGCCAGAATTAAACTAAATGCAATATATGCATTTAACCAACTGTCAAAATATTTAAAGGCAATTTGCAATATAATAAAAAGATGTATATTCCAAACATAAAATCAAGTTTGCAATAAAAACTAAAAGATACCTTCCAATAAGAACAATCTTTCTCTGTACTTTTCATGGGAGCTCAAATAAACAAGTATGGTGCCAGGAAGATATCATTGAAAGAGTTCCAGAAATTTAGTGCCAATAGAAAAGCCCTCCAAGAAGATATGCCAGAGGATTTTCAAGATACTTGAGACACCATGAAAAAAAGTATGAGAATATATTGAAAGGGCAAAAATGTATTTTAGGGAAGGGACACTTGATTTCTGAAAAAGAAATAAAAGCACATTTCACATTAACACTCCCAAGCAACTTTATTTCCAATGTTTTATATAATTCTGGTTTATACATGAAAAATCACTGCTTCACATATTCTGGGGCCCTATGTTGGGGAACCAAGAGCCAGCAATTGTGAAGATTGTAATGCAGAACACCTGCAAAACACTGGGTTGCTGCCCTTGCTAGGGAGCTTATGATTGTTAGTTTTATGCTTTGCATCATCCAGTATTTTGTCATTGGCCCAAAACTCCAGGATGGCTACAGTTCAGATAACTTTTTTGGGGCCAACCTTCACTGGCATTCAGAATTAATCTTTAACTTCTGGGGAGTTCCAAAGCAGGCCTTGTACCTTCCAAAACAGTTAGTTACCTCACTTGCAAAGGACACAGATAATTTTCAACTAGAAGACAAAAGAATAGTAAACTAAATTTGTTTTATCAGGCCTCTATTAACTGCATAGGTTTAACAGAGTAATAACTATTGTTAGCCAGTAATTAGCCAACACACGTATATAGGAGGATGAAGACAATAGCAAGTTGTCTTTTCCATCATACAGCAGAACACATTTTAGACTCGATGACATTGCTCCTGCCAATACTGTATTGCTAAAGTACTAAAAACTGCAAAGGAAGAGGGAATTATAAATTGAGTGCATAATGCAGATAAATGTAACCAACCTGCCCATTTTTCTTGTATGTATGCTTTGTTGCTTAGTGTCATATTCTATGACAAATATTTTTTGAAAACTAATTCTTCATAAATATGATAAACTCACCTTAATCTCTCAGGAAAATAATCCCGTGTTCTAGAATGGGGGTAGGGTGGCCAATGTGCATTTGAGACATTTTTTAAGGAAAAAGAAGCTACATTCAATCTCATCAGAGCAGTATGCTACAGAAAAATGTCAAACTGCACCCTTAAAATTTGAAAAGCCACATTGCCATCAAATGTCTTGATTAGGATCATATAGTTCTTACTTCCTGTTAGACATGCATTGAACTACAACTAAGCTCTAAGGCATCTCTGAAACACAGCATAATCCCACACAAAAAGGCCAACGTCCTATCTCCTAGCAGTAGGATTGCCAGATATTCAAAATTATATTAGTCTAGGTATTTTAATGTTTGTCCACTCCCCATCTTCACCTTTTGGCAAACTCTTTTTTCCATCCATTTCCCCTGCCCTATTGCTGTCCCCTTTCCCATAACAGCTAAATATGTGAACTGAAAAAGTCCAGATAACCAGTAGTTGGCAGCAAAGGAATAGAATGTTATGTATCTATTGGTTGCTACCTAACGCTCATTTGCTCATAATGCTTGTCATGGAGAAAGTCTGCATATGTGGTCACTAGGAGTTGGCACAAACTTGATGGGACATAATCAAAATCAGTCAATGATAATTTGAATTTTTGCAGCCAAGTATGGAAGTTCTTTTTGCCCAGTGTGTCATAGGATGAGTCTTAGAGGCAGTAAAAGCAAACTTCCAGACTTTTCTTCCAGTGCAGATTTGAAAAGTTTACTACCAGATTAGGTGATAATGACGTGACCTGTTAGTAAAAAAAACCCAAAAGCGTCACATGTGTATGCATATTTCTGGGTATTTCATGGAAGACTGTGTATGTGTTAGAAAATGGTCTATGTGAGATGGAGGGTTTGTATAGTTTGGCTAGCATCTAGCATTACTCTTTAGGGATATAAACATTTCATTGAACTAGGGACAGAACGTTCCGGAGAACTCTGGAATATTCTATTTCCCACTTGACTGTGCTATTCTGGAGGAGTTCAAGATTTCCTCTGAACTGGTTCCACACATGTGGTATGCCAACAAAATGAGCTGGACCATCTTTGGAATATCTTGCACAATTTCAGTTTGAGGATTTACTTCCAGAAACCAACAAATACTTCCAGAATGTCATAATCTGGGAGGAGGTGCGACATTATTTAAAGTGCTCTAAAATTCTCCTGAACATTTTATTCTGGGATCAACGAAGTCTAATTACTGTTTATTGTTAGAAGATTTTTTTTAGTAGGATGTATATTTAGTTGTTTAAAAAAACCTTTCCTCTTCACTGTCTTCCTTTTTCATCATATCCTCTTTTCTAAGGCTATTTTATTTATTACAAAAGGTTTTATGTATTCATCATAACATAGACCTTTTTTATTTCAGTATTAGTGCTCCAATACAGTTTGATAATAAACAGAAACACTGTCTAGAATATATAAAAATTATATTTAATTGAAGTGACATTCAGCAGTGTTGGGGTGGGGGAATTATGTGCCTAAGGGAACAGTTATCCCCCTTGTTTGCATTCTGGAATCACCCATGTAAGGATACCTACCTTTTATCACAGAAAATTGCTTAAGAACAATTCTATAAAAGCCCACAAAGAAAGTCAATTAGATGCAGATTACACCACTGCTTTAGAAACCTCAAGGATAAGATGTGGAAACTCAAAATGTCTCACATGGCTGACCTTGATAAATTTCACCACCTGCCAGATTATTTGAAGTCATATCCACATCTGGATACCCATGCATTAAATGGCAAAGCACTGGGTTGACTACTAAGGAGAAATAACAAAAGAAAATATTCCATGTCTGTACAAGCTCTGATCTTTATTTTACACTGAAAGCAAAGTGCTTTTTCCCATAGTAAATAGATTTCAGAGTCATTTAAAGGTTAATGCCTGCAATGCAAACAGCAATCAAGCAGTAAGCCACTTTCTCAGCACGTGGTATCCTGAGCTTATGTTATGTCAATATTTTAAAAGGGCAAGCAGACTGACCCCATGGAATTGTAGTCTAGTTAACCTACTATCAAGACCCATCAAGGGCAAAATAATAGAAAGGTGAATGTAGGACTCAAGAGAAATACACAGGATAGGAATGTCATTTTCTTAATTTTATTCACCTATTAATGCGAAAAAATGGTTTTAAGTGACACACTCAAAACCAATAATCAGCCAAAAAAAACCCTTCCAATTTTCTAATATATTCTGTACATTTTAGTATATAAAAGCATATATAGAAAAATATTGTTATGTGGAGAATATGAGCAGAATTGCAACTTTCCTGAAATTAGTTATGGAAAAAGTTATTTCCTGTCAATCTCCTATTCATTTACATTACTTCTCCCATCCATCAAAGTAATTGTTTCTCATCCTCCTATAATTTGTTATTTTATTCCTGAATTATTTGGATCCAAGGCATGGTTTGAAGCTATTCCAAATTAAGCTGGAAACCATTGTGTCAACATATCCCAACTGCCTTGTATGAACTTGAAGAGAGCAGT